TCAGTCTAATAAAAGATATTACCTCTCCCTACAAACTTTGCCTAACATATCCATAGATCACCACAGCAGATCACTGTTCCAAATTAGGTACAGTTTTCTGAGGGCATACTGGCAAGTATGATTTTTGGGGGGTAATCTGAGAACCCTAGTTTAGCCAGTGTGGCAAAGCAGTATGCTGCTGCCAGTCCACATGAGCAGCCTCATCTGGATTCAGTTTTGTAGCTGAGGCGCTGCTTTCCTGGTGAGAGGTCAGCAGGCACCTCTGCATGGGTTGATGGGATAGTTGTTTTTCATAATTCCTGGCCTGTCTCTTAGCTTCCAGGCAGCCCAAGCTTTCCTGATTGTCATCTTCTTTTCTGAACAGATGCAGACTCTATATGCTTTCGATGAAGAAGAAACAGAAATGAAAAATAAAATAGTTGAAGACTTGAAGACAGCTCTGCGGACTCAGCCCATGAGGTAATGTTGTTCATCTTTCATCACAACTCACTGCCTCCCTTTGGTCAGTTGTGACACAGGAAAGAGGGGCAAGAACAGAAACCTCATTGTCTCACCTAACACAAGCCTCTCTGATATTTCAGACAATCCACACAGAGCCCTACAGTCCCCTGGTCCGAACCTTCCCAGTTGGGAGGGCACACTAATGCTGAACCATGTAGCTTCAGGAGAATAAATGACAAAGTCTACTGTGAAAAACCTGTGGCAGATATGTGCAAACACAGGTAATGACTATGAAGATCAGATTCTAGACTTCATAGTCCCCTGAACGTCCCATGTAATTTGATTCACGTAGGGCAAAATCTCAGCCTCTACTCTGAACTTTGAATTCAGGCTTCCCCTTATCTTTAGTAATGTGAACTGTTTGGTACAAAGCAGCTAATCCATCTGACATCACCTGGTTTGGCATTCTTCCTGTTCTATGTGTAATTGTGGCATAGAGAAATGTTGAGACTTTATTGTGTACTGTGCCTTTGAAGGTAAGGTCATCTTTGTTTTTCTGGGATCAAAACTCTGAACAATAGCAAACTAACTAGCATAAAAACCTTTTTCATTTAACACTTTGAAGAGCATTGTGCAGAAGCGATAACTATGGTTGATGATCTCAGGAAACACTCCGTCAAAAAGTTTCTGAATGTCTTTGTATTGGGCCCAAAATAGGCCAAATGTTTTTGCATCCACACTATGCTGAAATCATAGTTTCAGAGAGTTTCAATAATGCCTAATCAAACAGGGGGTTTTTTGGGGGGAACCTAACCAAACCAAACAAATTAATTAAATAAATAAAAACAACCCAAAAAATTGTCTCAAAGAATTTGCATTGCAATTACATTGACTTGAAGTGAAGATATTTCTAGGACTTTTTGCAGAGCTGAGTGCTGATTGTGCTTCTCCCCTTCATTATGTTTAAAAAGTTGACTGCATGCAGCTTCTCACCTCATGGCAACTATGAGGTAGAGTGCATCAGCTTAAACCTCAGTGTTTTACCTTCTGTTGTGACAGGCTGTAAGATAGCACAAAACTGGATTCTGATGCTCCTCTGAGGCATAAAGATTCATCAGGCTTTGGTAACTTTAGCATGTGGTTAGGGTGAGTGCTTTTAACATGGAAGTGGAGAAACAGTGGCCTATACTGAGATCTAGCCCAAGGGGTAAGTGACTGTTTAATCCTGTCTATCGCTGTCCTAAAGCAGAGAACAAAGTAAAATGCAGCTGGACTTTATGTTAAAATGGAAGTTAAGACAATTGCCAAACTCCCAACTCTCACAAGGATTTTAAACCAAAGTCCTGTGCTGTTGAGACTCGATTACATTATTACATTAATGTGGAGCTGGTTTGATGCTTCCTCTGTGAAAGAGAGAGCTTTCACTGAGCATAGCCACAGCAGCAAGACCTCTCTGCTATGTCCAGCTGAAACACTTTGGTGGCCACCATTGGTTGTTCTGCCCCATCGTTTTGAATAGGACAGCCCGGCCTCCTTGTTGAGAGCAAGGCAATAGAGAAGAAGAAAGAGAAATGTCTTTTGCTCAAAGCCTTGCAAGGTTTTCCTTCTCAGACCTATATTGCTTCTGCTGGATCCCCTTGACAACAGCGTGTTGCTTCATCTGTTTATAATAACCCTAACAAGCTTCAGTACAAGCATCTATGAGCTGCCCTATAAAGTGTTCTCTTCTAACTCACTGGCGATGGTTATGGGGCTTTTTTTTTTTTTAAATAGTTAAGCCAAGCCAAATTTTGACTTAAGTCCTATGTCTCAACTAATTTCCAGCGACTCAATTCGTTAGCTGCCAAATGGGCTGTATGCCAATGCCTGATCAACAAGCCAATTTCTTCTTGATGGAAAGGTTGCAGTAGAGAGGCCCTCAGCTCCATCAAATCCCTCTCATAAGCAGTACGATACCCAAGCCTTCAAAATACTAGTCTTTCTAGTTGAATTTGGACATCAAATCCTATTTTCCTTGCCACTTCTGTTCATCAAGTCTCTGAAGAAAAGAGAGACCTAAATTCACATAGGATGAACTATCTGGAATCCATTTGTGATGGTAGGGTACACAGGGGCTCTGACAGCTTACCAATAGACTCCTCAGCTTGAATTCTCTGATCTAGAGGAATCAAAAGAAGAAAAATGCATGTGTTTGGCTCTGTGTTTTATTTTACTGTAGAACTGTGTCTCTTCTAGTAGAAAATGCATAGTAATGGTACTAATCTGTCCCTCTATTCCAACCCACCAGTTCTAACAGCAACAAAAACTGAAGCAGACCTACCCAAACTCAAGTTCCTCTCCTTTTTGGAGAAAAGGTGATAGAAGCATCCTTGGGCAGCTAGTTGGTCCCCTTTGAGCAAGTGCATTTTGTTCTGGTATTTAGGAGCTGCCCTGAAATAAATAAAGCCAGGTTATGTCCCAGCACGCAGGAACAACCCCAGCCTTAGAGAACAAAAACCCCACATCTGTATCTTGTAAGGAAACACATTTTCTTTTAGGTTTGTAAGAACTTATGACTATAAACAAGTGTGATGACAAACTGTTGGACAGAAGCAGTGAGAGAAGAGCTTTTCTTTTGGTATTTTAGTGCCCAAAAATGGAGGTTCAGAAGTACAGCAAAAGTAAAAACTTACAAGGGACTGGAAAAAAAAATCACTTTTTGGAACCCTAGGAAAATACTTCCTGTAGTCTGAATCATCACTAACTCCCTTTACTGTCTGCTTTTCTCCTTTGTTTAACTCAGATTTACCTCCTGTTATTTTTTTTGATTTAGCCATGTTGCATTCAAGTGCTGACTAGAGTTGATCATTTATGCATCCAGCAAGAAAAACCCATTATGCTGAATTTTTCAGCAGTTCAGTAGTTGTCAGGATCATGTGTGCCCCCTGCTTAAAAAACTGACGCTGCAGGGAAGTGTAGCCTTGGCTGTTAACAGGGTGGGAACATCCTGCTCTCTGCACACCCACAGCATATGATCTTTCTGTCTTTCCTGAGCTGAATCAAGCCTCACAGGGAGGCTGTCCCCAGCTACACTTGGAATCCATCAGTGGGTCATTACCTCTTAGGCTGTGCCGCATCTGCATTTGGATGAAAGGTTTGTTATTAGAGCTAGCTAACTCGTTCTGATCAGCACTCTCTAAAACTTGAAAGGCTAAGAGGCGCCCTGCCTTTTAAAGTGAGCTAAACTGGTCAAGTGAGAGTCTGAGGTGAGGTTAGGCTTTAATTTGCTGGTTTAGCACCTATTAAAACACACCCTGCTTTATTTACACTTGAGTTTTTGAATGTGTTAGCCGGAATGCATTGGCAAATATGCCTCACTTTACACCTTTCAGTCTAGAACAAGACCTTATTTTGCAGCATACAGGATGTATAGGATGGCAGTTAGTTACATAGGTATATATTGTGAGGAAGAAGGTACTTTATTTGTATGAGTTGGGTTTGCCTTTGCACATACACACACACATCCCTGCTTACAGACATACAGACATACAGATGCACAAACACCAAACAGCATGAGGATTATGGCTCTCAGCCTGTCAGCTAAACTCCCACCTCTTTTTCTCTCCTGTACAGATGTTACATACGTACCTCCCCACATACATGCTCACACCGAGCAAATTCTCATACTGAGAGTGTCTGTTGGCTCAGAAACTATTGCCATTTCTTTATCTTCTTCTTGCATGATTTCTGGCTTTTCCAGAGAACAGTGAACTAAGTGTTTTGGAAAGGGAAGGTGAAAATCATAATTTGATTCCTGCTTCTGATGTCAGCTGAAATGGGAAGGTACTTGGTTTTGCTTCCTATTGAGTAATGCAGCTTACTGTTTGCTCTCTGGACTAGCAAGAGTACAGGAAAATCCCGACATTGTTTTAAATTATGTCACTAATCAAGGTCTGTGACACACACCACTTTCCTGTGCATGCCTCCTTTTTGGAATGACCTCATCCAAACAGTCCCAGAAAAATTGCTCTGCCAGTGAATTTAGTAAGGGATTGTACTTAATTGGGACAATGTGACTTTTGTGCATTTATTATTTTTTTCACATGGTCATCAGAGCAGGCTAAATAGATGAAGGTTGTATTGTCTTGTATGTCTTGTCATAAGACCAGGTGTTCCATCTGAAAGTATGTTTAAGGGACCCTTTGTTCAGCTGCTTCTTCAGAATGTTTTCTTTTGTCGATAGAATTCCATATCTTCAGAAAGGTATCCATCTTAAGTCTTCTCTCAGCCCTGGAACTGAAAAGAACAGCAAAACATCAGCTTTTTTTTGCCTTTTTTTTTTTCCCTCTCCCCTAAAAGATGGAGGGAATAGCTAAGGTATAGGATGGATTCATAGAACTGAACTTTGGAGGCGAGGAGGAGCAGGAGAATTTAAACTAGTCCCTCCATAGCAGAGGCAAAGAGCAACTCTGCTCTTTGGCAGGGTTAGAGAAATGCTCAGAAGTCATTGGCATCACATTGTTTGGTAACAAGTTGAGTTTGTGCTTATTTTGGTTCCAAATACATCCTTAGCAGCAATTCTTTTAGCCATGAATGCACTTATTTCAGTCGTCTTTGGCATGCTAGCAGCTAAATGCATTACAAAAACTGAACTGAGTTTTAATCTTTCTATAATCAGTTTAAATAACAAACTGCTTTGAGTGACTTACGAAATTCCTGGTGCACAATGTTGATCCCACTCTCTGGCCTGGAGGCAGAGGGGCTTTTGCTCCTACGATTTGTTAGGGTAGACAAGATGATGCATCCAAAGAATGTGCAATCAGACCTGTGTGAAACTTGGCAGATTGTCTTAGCAGGGTTCAACTAAACCTTGTTTTCATTTTTGGTGCACACGTGTTCCTGTGTGTGCTTGCCCTTACTCTGATATTCACTTTGAAATTCAATGTTGAACAAAACCCAAACCTCAGACTGAAACTTTGTTGAAAGCACCAGGCTTTGCTATGTTTCTGGTCAAACTGCTGGCCCAAATAAGCTGAAAGTTGGCAAATCTATCAGCATAGTAAGCATAACTTTCAGGTAGGCCCTGAAAATTTCTGTGTGGTGTGGGGTGTAACCACCAGAAGACCATACATATGTCAAGTCCATATTATCCAGGAGATGTATATGTATGGCTTAGGTTTGTCTTGCTGGTGCAGAGACATGAACAGAGACCAGTGAAATTCAGTCTTTCAGTATCGTGCTTCCATTACTGATGCATATTAGGAACAGCATCTCACTTAAGGACAGAAAAGAGAAAGGCAGCACATTAGGAAGTATCCAACAGGGAGGAAGAGGGGCTGGATAAAAGCAAAATGACACAGACTTTAGGTATTCTTAATTTGTTACACAGGTGGTAATTGTTAACAACCTTTTCATTTGTTTGAGGTGTCTTTCTACATTATGCTGTTTAGAGTGTGGTCATGGACATATTATTGTTGGTGTACATTTTGGTAGACTGAAAACTGAAATGTAATTCACATGGTTTTGCATTCAGACATTCTAAAAAAGTGCACCTACCTGAACAACCTGTTAGAGGAGGCAGGAGGTAAACAAAGCGATCTAGTGAAATTATTTGCAGCCCTTTTCGTATCTTTGAATCCCCATTTTTAAGCCTGGGAACTCTAAATGAAACATTGCTAGAATATTGCTTTGAGCTGACTTATATAATCCCATTCATTTCTATTGATTTGTCTGTCTGCAGGAGACTGTCTGCATGGTCTAATTTGGCCCATGTGGATTTTTTAACCCTGGTTTTCAACAAAACCTTAAACTTTTCCAAGGACTTTCTCCCATATTGTTTTCATCCTCAGTTTCCATAATCTTAACCTGAAGAAAGGCAAATTTTATGGTAGAATACAGTAGAAACAGAACTCTAGTGATGTCAATAGTCAAAATAAACCTGTCCTACTATAGGTTCAGTCTTCAGTGTGTCATTTGGTAACCGATTAATTCTGTATTTCCTCTATTTATGATGGTTTTACTGTACATTTTGCTACTGCAGTGGACCTGTTCCATCCTTAACATACTTCCTCAAAATAAAAACAAACAATCAAACAAACAAACAAACAAAAAAACAGCCAAGGCCATTATAGGAGCTTTGCCTTTTACTGAAGAACATGTACCTTTTAAAATATAACTTTATATTGTCCTATGCGTATAGATCCTATATACAGAGTGTGAAGTCAGTACAGCTGACAGACACAGTGGGTAATGAGTTTGCCTGTCAGTGTACCCACTCCTGGAGGTGGAAGCCTGTAAGTAATTGCTAAAAGTTTGACCTCAGTCAAAAATGGTTTTCAAGATAATCTGAACTCATAGTTAAAAGTGTGGTGATGAGTCTGTATGAAAATGTATCTTGTGTGTATCAGCATGTATGTAAGATGTAGCAATTTGAAAGAATCCGTTCAGCCTTGAAAATGCAACAACTATTGGGGTGAATCACAGCAGGTGTTTGGTGGTAACTGCAACAAAACACAGCAACCGAAGAGTAGGGTCATAAGGTGATAGAATATAATTACCCTGAAACTATGTGAGACACCATTATTAGCTAGTCAGTTTTCTCTCCTTTTTGTTTGTTTGTTTTGTTTTTCTTAAATACCTGGGAATTATTCTGTGAACTTTAGGCTAAAAACTAGCCAGCTTTTACAGATGTAGGGTTGAATAATACGGTATCTTTTGAATAAATTGCCTTTGGTCTGCTTTCCTTATTTTTCCTACCTGTTTTTTTTTTTTTCAGGTTTGTGACCAGGTTTATTGAGCTGGATGGCCTGAGCTGTTTGCTGAACTTCCTGAAGAGCATGGACTATGAGACCTCAGAGAGCCGTATACACACATCCGTTATAGGGTGTATCAAGGCACTGATGAACAACTCCCAAGGACGGGCTCATGTCCTGGCTCATCCAGAGAGTATCAACATCATCTCCCAGAGCTTACGCACTGAGAACATTAAGACCAAGATTGCTGTGCTGGAGATCCTAGGGGCTGTCTGCTTGGTACCAGATGGTCACAAGAAAGTCCTGCAAGCCATGCTTCACTATCAAGTCTATGCTGCAGAAAGAACAAGATTCCAGGTACAAGGAGGATACTTTGCCAGAAATACCCAGTATGATGAATCTCTGCAGGGAGTGATTTTTACAGTGCATGTATTGCTAACTTGCTAGGTAGTAAAAAGGCAATATTTCTCATTTTGTTTTAGAAAGGGCTCTTCCTCAAATAGATTATCAGCATATATTTTTTTTTTTCAAGACCTGATTGCTTGTCATTAATGCTACCTTAAAATCTCCTGTATTTTACTTTAAAATGAGGGTTTGCTATGTTAAATGAAAGCCGTTAATCTGTTCATACTCTAACCTGATGGCATTTCTAGGGTGGTAATCATTTGTTCCAAAGCCACAGAATTCCAGGAGCCTCTGTCGTGATTTTAAAGCCCTTAATTTAGTAATAAAAGAGTTGTGGATTAAATAATGGACAGTGGAGGCACTTCAGTTGCCGCTTAGCAATCATGTTGTGAATTGTCACCACTTAGCAACTGTTAGCTCAGGTATCTCCCATTCAGAACACAGAAGGGAAACTCAATCTCAGAGACCTTGAGGTAGGTCAGTAGATCGACAGGCTTTTATTGTGGATACTGCTGGCTGCTATTATAACGTTCCTCTTCCTAGTGAACTGAGCACCTTTACAAAAAGATATAACAGAATCTGTTGCTGTGTATGAAGCTGTAGCTCCTAAATTTTGGGGTAACCTCACCCATTTACTATTCATTCTTAGGTGAAATGATAAGGGTGGTGTTGGGCCAACAGGCTCTGGATCCTGGTTTCTGTTAGCCATTATCTCCTGCCTCCTCCTCAGCTAATGCATCAGTGGATTTTGGGCTACAATGAGCTATGATTGTAAAAGTGAACGGGGAAACAGTCTGTGCTCATGAACAGTAGCTGCCAATGTTTGTTGTTAGGACTGAATGCACTATGGGATTCACTGACTGTGACTCAGACCTGAGTCTGGGATGCAGGAGATCTTGGCTTGGTCCTGGCAGCCAAGATCCTGGCAGCCAAGAGGGCAAACCACACCCTGGCGTGTATCAAACACAGTGCAACCAGCCAGTCAAAAAAGGTGATTATCCTACTGTATTCAGCGTTGGTGCAGCCTCATCTTGAATATTGTGTGCAGTTCTGGGCCCCGTAATTTAAGAAGGATGTGAAGGTCCTTGAACGCATCCAGAGGAGGGCAACAAAGCTGGTGAAAGGGCTGGAAGGAATGTCCCATGAGGAGTGGCCAAGGACTTTGGGCCTGTATAGTTTGGAGAAAAGGAGGCTGAGGGGCGACCTCATTGCTCTCTGCAGCTTCCTGAGGAGGGAATTGGAGAGGGAGGTGCTGAGCTCTTCTCCCTGGTATCCAGTGACAGGATGCGTGGGAATGGTTCAAAGCTGCACCAGGGGAGGTTTAGACTGGACATAAGGAAGCATTTCTTTACCGAGAGGGTGGGCAAACACTGGAACAGGCTTCCTAGGGAGGTGGTCGATGCCCCAAGCCTGTCAGTGTTTAAGAGCCATTTGGACAATGCCCTTAACAACATGCTTTAACTTTTGGTCAGCCCTGAATTGGTCAGGCAGTTGGACTAGATGATCGTTGTAGGTTCCTTCCAACTGAAATAGTCTATTCTATTCTATTCTATTCACCTATATGTGGTGTTGGCAGGTCCACCCTTCTATGTGCACTACCCCATCCAGCCTGCTCTCTAGTAATTAGCTGAAATGGAGAATCCTTCCTAAATTAATCTGACATTCTTGTATACCTTGGAGACAGGTGGGGGTAACCTTAGATGCTCAGCAAAAAGCAGTGGTAACTCACAGCCCTGACACCACTTGTGGTCCTGTGTTGACTTATCCTTGCTTGGCCAAGTGGCTGCTTAATAAGCCCACATGGGAGATAGATGCTGAGTTTAGTCAATGTCTCCTCTTTGGGTCCTCGCTCTCTTTCTTTTTCCTTTTTTTTTTAATTGGTTTAAAATTTACCGAATAACTGAGGTAAGTCATTGCTGGGCAGAGTGTGGTAGCACAGGTCTTGTTGTGACCTTTTGAGGAATCTGGTGTAATGATTTGCAGATGCTTATCAACTCTCACATTCATGAAAGAGTACTTTGCATAAATGCTTGCTTTTGTCAAAATGCTTTCCCATTGGAGAAAAAATGAAAGATAAATGGATACTCTCTCTTTTTTCTTTCTTAAACAAAATGACCCCACCCCCCCACCCCCCAAACCCCAAAATGATTTAGCAAAAGGATGCATTCTTGTTTGCAATTTCTAACACTTGTGTCTAGATGCTGGAATGGGATTTCCTGCTACACACAACAATAGCTTAAGTTTAATTTTGAGGAGGTAAGGGTTCATCCAAAGACATTCCTCATCCATCTTCAGATATTTTCTTCTTACAGAGAGACTGGGGATTTTTTTAAATGCTGATGAAACAAATGTGGTCATGGTCTTCCTTACGTTTTAGTGGAAGGTTGTCTGATACTCTAGGACTTGTCAGTTAAGAGAGTGTTGTATCTCTTTGCCTCTTGCCCTCCCACACCTGTGTCTCAGAACAGTCTTGCAGCTCATTATTAAGAGAAGCATCCACTATAACTTGGCTATGAGACGCCATTTTAAGAAAAGGATGAGCTGACAACGCTTATCTTACAACTTTACTGTAAACTTCAAAGGTGTGGTGTACTATTAAAGTCAATGAAAGCCTTTTTTTTTTTTATCCTAGTCCTGAGTGTAATCTTTGTAACCCAGACTTTGCAAATATCTGAGGAGATCCTTCAGGTTTCAAACTGAACTTTTTTGGGGATGTGTTTTCTGTAGCCTGAGTAACTAGCAGCATCACTCAGTGTATTGAAGTGTCCGAACAGTTTAGAGCTTGCAGCTTTAGGTTGACTTTGACTGGCCACACTTAATCACTGTTATGTTGAAAATGATACCCCACAACTGGGGATTTGGCAGAACCAAGAAACGAGAATTCTTTTTGTGAAAAGTAATGAAAAATGAACTAAACTGTAGGAACAGGAGAAACATACTTTGAATGTGCAGAGTAGGAATTTATTCCTTTGGCTGTGTGGTTCGTTATTGCAGACTGATTCTAATGGGGGTGGAAAAAGGAAAGCTGGGAACTGTAAAGGCGCTGCTCAGTCTTTCTCTAGATCTAGCTCCGTAAGACTGTGGCCAAATTAGAGACACAATACCTAAGAGGAGAATAATTTCAGATTCTCAGTTTTGGAAATCAAACTCGGTTCTTGTGAAGTAAAAAGTGTAGGGCTTTGTGGAAACTGTACTGAGCTCACTTTTATTGGAATGTCCAATAAATAATTTACAGGTAATGCTGACCTCTGACATCAGCGCAATTCTTGCTCTTCCTTAAGTTGCCTTCCTGACAACAGTGGTTGATAATATTCTTCATCCCTTTCAGCCACCTCGCTGTCAATTTATCCCTCCTCATCTATGAAAGCTGGCACTTTGTTTGTACACTATATGTTTGGATTTAGTTTTCCTTCTTGCAGATTGCAGTAGATCTAAGTGTCCCATTCTCCCCATATCATTTGTGGTGGCCAGCACTATATACTTTGAGGAATCAGGAGGTAAATGTAAGAAACACTGTTCCAGATCTATTTTTCCCCAACACAAATTGTTTTCTTTTTTTCCCCTTCTTGCAGAGGAATATCATGGTGAATAAAATTTTGGGGTACATGGTTCTACTTCCATTCCTCTTTGCAAGAAGGAGGAAGAGAGGTTCAGAATTATTTACTGGCAACCATCTAAAACTTGAGCTCATGCATAACTTGCTGCTGACAACTTTAGATTGGAACACTGATTATTTCCGATTTGCACATGCTCAAGTGTGGTGGAGTGATGTAGAGATCATATATTTAACACGGTAACATAAAACATGGCATGTTTTGTTGAATGTCAGAAGTTATTGCTGGTCAGTGTTCTAAGCGCAACTCTTGCTACGTGGCACAGCTAGCCAAAAGTAGTCAGAGGACCCAGCAACTGGTGAATTAGTTGAGAAGAAAAGCTGTGACTTAAGATATGGTTCTTACTAAACTTGCATTGGCTTGTTCCCACTATAACTCCTACTATTTGAATAGGAAACTTGTGGTTTTATACTAGTGTATCTAAAGTAAAAATCCAAATTACAGTAAGATTCCTGAGTGATATAAACGCTTGTAATCCCAATTAATTTAACTAAATTCCACTAGGTCATACCAACTGAAGACCACTAATCAAGTTGTGCTGAAATGTTTTGGAAAGGATGTCCTTGCTTTTTGATGTGTTCTTTTTTTTAATTGAAGTTAATAGAAAATATAGCTAGAACTTTTATGAATATAAAGGGATATCTCCTTAACTTAACAAAATGTCATATTTTGCTCTGTGTGGAAAATCTGATGTAAGATATTGCTTCTTTCTAAATTGCCAGCATTTCTTCTACTGAGTGCAATTATCAATCTAGTCCTTAACTTCAGAGAGGAGTCACTTTAAAGCTATGGGAGATTCTCCAGAACTTACTCTTCTTTGTTGAGACTTCAGCCTTCTATCGAATGCCTTTTAGCACTACAACTTCACCCTATATCTCCACTGTTCAATGTGTTCACAGGTCTATCAGGACGATCTTTGTCTTGGCACTTGCAACAAGATTCTATATTTTATGTTTGTGTCTGAATTTATATTGCGGCTAATCCTACTTTCTCACATTTGTCGCAGCTTCTTGCCTGGGCTGATCCTTTTGCCTGTTTTAATCTTTGACCCTTCTTTCACACTGCCCTTCTGCCTGGAATAACTCCCTTTAATGTCCAACAGGCAGTCTGCAGTTTCTCTTAAGATATTCTTTGAAAACTGTCCTCTTCAGAGTAGTATTCCATCTTTACTCAAATACCACAATAATATAAAGGCATGCCTTCAATCTCCTTCCTGAGGCAATCCGGAAAATCTCAGTCTTTTCTTCATCCAATTTTTGTTTGAAATATGCTTCTTTGCCTACAAATTCTACTCTGCCCCTTAAAGAAGAGAGGTGAAAGAAAACATTGGAAAGCCAGACAATAAACCCTTAAAGCAGAAATGTAGAATTAGGAAGATGAGCCCTTGGTATCCTTGCTGGGATTCTTTTCCATCTGATGTATTCAAAATCGGTACTAGTGTAATTCTGTCACTGGCTCACTGTGTGACCATGAAAACGTTGCTTTATCTTGAATTTCTTAGGTGCTTTTCTTGTGAAGATGGAGGTTTCTAAAATGCTATGAAAATTGAGAAAGAAGAGTCTCTGATTTCAGTGTCATTTATGTCTGCATTATCCTATTTATGACTGGTTTCCTTTGTGAAGGGGACACAATCTTACTCTTCCCTAAGCTGTTGCCTTTCTGGTTATTGTTATGCTTGCTGCTTCCCCTCATTTCTTCTGTGGAGTGAATGCATTGTGTTATGATATTGTAACATGTTGTACTTTTTAACATGCCATATTTTGAATCAAACTAATGTTGCAAAGTCATAATGCTGTACTGGCCCAGAAAAGTATATCAGGATGTTCCAGTGCCCTTCCAGCCTAGTTTGCTGTCTGAAACACCCACCCAGCTGGGGACCCCTGTGGGGAGAAATAATTTTCCTTTTAGTCTTGAGAGAACCTAGGTGTTAGATACTGTCTGAAAGGAGCTGATTTCACTTGCCAATGAAAATATTAACTGGGCTGCTTTGGGCAGAACACTCTCGTTTTCTTCCTTAATGCTGCTAGAAAATTTGAAGCTTGAGGTGAAGGAATAAAGGAAGCTTGACATTGTCAGTTGAAAAGGTGGAGATTGGGAGCATTCCTTCCAGAGCCCCCTTGCCTGGTTTGTGTTAAACACCATCAGTACGGACCATAATCTGTAGGGAGAAATCTGATCAATTTGGAATTGTAGTAGAGGAGCTAACAAGGAACAAATTAAAATCCTGTATTCCCACTTGATTTGCTCCTTCCCCTCAGGGCTCATCCAAAGCCTTTTGAGGTTTGCTGCAGATTGAATGAAACCCTACTGGATGTCAGTGATGAGGAATAATGGGATTAAGTGAGGAAAGTTTTGCTTAAATAGTAGGAAAAACCTTTACAACCATAAGATCAATTGGGCCACAGAGCTGGCTGCCAAGAGGTGTGGTGAAATCTTTTTCACAGGAAATGTTCAAGTGAAGACTTGAACCGCAGCCATTTGCAAAGGGTTGGAGATATTGGAGTTCGGCCACAGTGTGTGGGTGTAGACTCTGATCTTTAGGAATTGCATGAACTTATAGAGTTTCCTTCAAGAGCTGAACAATCACATGAAGATGTGCTGCTCTTCAGTTAGCTTAGTGCAACCCAGAGTTTTTGTTTTTCTTGCCCTGAATTTGGCTTGGCCCCCACTGCATTCTGGTCCTAGTCCAGCGTTCTGAAATGGGGGATAGAAAACTTTTGTTAACATCCTTCAACCTGTCTGGATGCTGTATCTGATATGTTGTTGCATAGAGTCTAGCATGTTCGTAAAAGTCTGTAAGAATATGTGGTAGGAATGAGGCCTCTGAAGAAAAGCAGCAAAACCATCCTTGGTTTTGATACTTCTGTAGTAATGGCTACTTAAATTATTCCAAGAAGACACACGTGCTTTGGATTTCAGTGTCAAATCTGTCAGTAACAGAACTAAATTCTCTCATTTATTTCACTTCTGCTTATTTGTCAAGTTGAAGAGTTGTGTTTGTTGGTGAATTTAAAGACCTGTTAAATAGTGTCCTATTGTCATTGTCAGAGATAGGATGATGGACTCGACTGACCAGCAGTCTGACTCAGTAGGGCATTTCATATATTTTTCTGTAAGACTCATTCCCATTTCTAACAAAATGGGGGAAGGGTTGGTATTTGGCCGTAATATAACTACTGGGAAATCATGGATGTGATGGAAGTTCACATGCCAGGAGTAGGGACATTTGCGAGTGCCAGCTGGGCAATTTAGAAGATGCAAGAAAAAGGAGTTTATGAAATCAAGCTTGCTTGATAGTGAACATGCTATGCTCAGATATAAGAACAGGTGTCAGTAGCAGTGTATGATAGATCAAAAGATTTTTACACAAAAACAAGCAAAGGGTTTGCATGAAGCCCAGGGGGTATTCTTTCCCCTGGGGAATGCACAGGAGGATATTCCCCCTGTTTCTCGAGGCATATCTCCGTGGTGATGTCCATTTTCTACAAGAAACAAGCTAGACCTATGAAACTGATGACTAGCACAGGAAAGATTTTGCTATGAATGAACACTTTCAGTAGCCAGGGACAGAATACTGACTAAAGGAAAATGAACTTCCTTACTCAGCATCATAGCTTCAAAATATTATTTAGATGGATCTGCTGAGCTGAACACTAAAAAGTTATTTTTGTCTTCATTCTCCCTTTATGGCCAAAGCTTCTTGGGAAGAGTAAAAAGAATTCTGTCTTTTCTAGTGCATCAGCAAAACAAATATATGAGTGTGGGGCGTTTATTATTAACGTTGGAGTGAGACAGATACAATTGAACTGGCAGATCTCAAGTGGAATTTGTTACACTTCCAGTAAGGAAAATCATTCTTGGAATTATGAACTGATCAGAGAAGATTCTGAAGAGAAGATTCATGGTCATCAACACAAAGCTAAACGTAGAGTTGCTTTCATGGCTAATCAGTTTCTACATATAACTTCTTTGGTAAATACTCAAGTGGAATTAGTCCTAAATAGACTGTGTAAGGCACAGGCTATCGATGTTGTTTGTCTAGTCTTTTTTCTCCTTTGTCTCCTGATGTTCACAAGATTATGGTGAAATATCTGTAAGTATGTAGAGATTAGATCAAAAGCATTTCTGTGCTAAATACCCCCTGAACGCTAAATATCCCTGCTATTTGGTTAATAGGGAGACATACAGTCTCCGGAGAGACCTTATAGCAGCCTTTCAATATATAAAGGAGCTTATAAGAAAGACGGAGAAAGACTTTTTACCAGGGCATGTAGTGACAGGACAAGGGGTAATGGTTTTAAACTAAAAGAGGCTAGATTTAGGTTGGCTAAAAAGAAGAGATTTTTTTACAATGAGGGTGGTGAGACACTGGAACAGGTTGCCCAGAGAAGTTGTAGATGCCCCATCGTTGGAAATGTTCAAGGTCAGGCTGGACGGGGCTTTGAGCAACCTGATCTAGCTGAAGATGTCCCTGCCCACGGCAGGGTGGTTGGACTAGATGACCTTTAAAGGTCACTTCCAACCCAAACTATTCTATGATTCTGTAACAAGGAAACATTCTATGATTCTGTAACAAGGAAACTGGAACTTAACTGCACTTCCCGTGGAGCTGTGTAATTCACCTTGGAGCTTTGGAGCTGTATGCACAGGGGACATTCCTGTTATTTGCAAATCCCTGATAGGAGCTTACCAAGAGGTAGGTAATTGTCTGTTTCATGTCAAATGGTTGTAAGTGAAGGAACAAGGAGAAATCTTCCAAGGTCTACATATAGGTTTTATTCCTCAAAAGACAGCTTCTCTTTAGAACTCTCTCCCCCTGTATACATAAGTACAATCTATCCTGCTGAGACCCAAGAAAATAATGAAAATTACTTGAGTGATGTATGTAGAAAGGATGTATGAATCTGATGCTATTTTTCTGCATGTATAAACTCCCTGTCATATTCGCCATACAGAGTTAACTGACTAGGAAGGACATAATTCTGCTGCTTTCCTAGATCGTGTTGGTAGGAACTATAAAGGGCATCTGCTTTTTCTCAAATAATAACTTGTTTAAAAAAAAAACTATTTTTTTTTCATTAGGATCAGGTGGGCATTTTATTCCTATCACTATTCTTCATTTCTTTATTGTGGCATGCCCACAATTGCTAACAATCTTGTCTGAAAAAATTATTTCTTTAAGCAAATATGTAGCAAATCAAAAGACGACTGTGTGTCTATCCCATGAACAGTATGCAAAATGGTGCAAGAAATTAGATTATATCCTCTAACCCAGCCTGCTGTTCTGTTTCAGACATTGTTGAACGAGCTAGACCGAAGCATGGGGCGATACCGAGATGAAGTAAATCTCAAAACAGCCATCATGTCCTTTATCAATGCTGTTCTGAATGCTGGTGCTGGTGAGGTGAGTCACTGCCCTGGAAATTCCTTCTAAAATGTTATGCTTGAATTAATTTACCTTGGAAATGGTTAGTAGATTAAGTCACATATCTTGTGTTATTGAGTGGATTTAGTTTGTGGAAAATAATGCTTAATTGTTATTATCAGTCTTATAATGTCTTCCATATTATTTCATTCCCAGCCTCTTCTAATATAACATAGACTACTTGCACTGGAATGATTGCTTTGGGTTTGGTTTTGTTTTGTTTTGTTTTTTTTGTTTTGTTTTGTTTTTAAAGAACTGCAAAGCATTTACCTCTTGATTTCAGCCTTTTAGAAAACATTTTAGTTTACCTTCAGAAATGTTTCGAAATGTTGTTTTGACTCAAAGCCAAACTCAAAGTGTTTTAATTTTAAAAACGTCAAAGGGAGACATTTCAGAAAAGACAGTTTGTTGTTTTTCTTTCATTAACAAGACTTTCTTTTGAGTCTGGAGGATAGATTAAACTGATTTTGTTTCATTAAAAGTGTAACTTTTGTTACATTGGCTTTTCTTTTTTTGGTTAAACCACAACAGACAACAAGCTCATAAGAGCTCTGTCTGGCAATGTATTTGTCTCTATATGCAGCAGTCCTGTAACATCCCACTGAATAGGTGTCAAGTTTGCCAGAGCATATGGCGATTTTATGACAAAGAAACAAAAACTAGGAGGAAGACTGCAGTACTGTTCATCTGTAAGCAGGAGGCAGACCTCTAATGGACTAGCAGGACAAACACTAATAATTTTTGTTCTTTGTGGAACAACGTGGAGTGTGCTTCTGACTGGGTATGCAGGACTCATTGTAGGTAAATGAGGACTGCATTTTTAAGGGAAACAGAGGCAAAAGCATTAATTTTTTTTTTTTACTTTACTGAAATTAATAATCCTGTGAATTTGGTGTCAGGATAGAGGATATTAAAAAGGGAAGAACTGGGGTTTTAAGTATTTTTTTTTAATGTGATTAAAAGCTTTTGGAACCTAATAACGGTTTTCCCTCACTTTTTAAGGACAATTTGGAGTTCCGATTACACCTACGATATGAGTTTCTAATGCTGGGAATTCAACCCGTCATTGACAAGCTAAGAGGACATGAGAATGCCACACTGGACAGGTAAGATGTTTTCTGAGAACAATTATTGATCAACTGAAAGAGTTCTTAGAAACTCTTCTCCATTTGGGTTTCAGATTTAAGCACAAAGCTGTCTCTGTCTCTCTCTAAAACAGACTCCCTTTAAAGACAAAAAGGAGATTTGCCCTTAAAATTAAAATCAGCAGATGAAGTAGTAAACATACATACTAAGTTGGCAGTAGCTGTGGCAAGGAGTTTCTGAATTGCTTTTCTTCTAAGCTGGGGATGGCAATCAGAATGACAAAAAACAATGTTCTAATTCTTTTTCTCTCATAGCAAAACTGGAGCAAAATCCTGTCCCGGTAGGAGGGAGGGAAGCCAGTAGTTCATTGACTTCATTGAGACTGAGTATGTGTGGTCAAAGCATAGATTCTGAGTTTCCAAGGTTTTTCTTTTGTGATCTAGCTTGTACCACAACCTCCCAAACAGTGGCACTGGCATAACTATGAGAGAAGGGGGACCTGCGGTGGGCGAAGGGGTAGAGATGCCAAGGGGGCAAGAGAGAATAACAAGGAGCATCTTCAAACAGCCCTGCTACTGCACAAAATGTAACACTGAATGGCACCTTCAAATTACTGTGTAAAAAGTTATAGGGATAATAAGTGCTTTCTCCACTAGCAATTCCATATTTTGCCACAGTAATTGAAGCTACTAATGACCTTAAATTATACCCTTCACGAAGCCACATGCTGAAATAAGGTTGGAGTAAACAATATGAAAAATTTGACTGAGACACTTCAAGAAGCTAGAAGACTGGTGAACCAATGAGGAGTCTGGTAAAATCCCTTTGCTTAGCAAAATGAAGCATTTTAAGGTGTAAGAGCAGGCAGCTGTGGGAGTCTACCTTCTCCTGTGGCCACATTAAGCTTTGTGGAGAGGCAATGACCTACTGACGTGCTGCTGTCCCTTACTCTCTGCTACTCCAAGTCCCTTCCTACAGAGCAGGGCTGATTTGTGGGTATCTGATATCTGGGATTTCCTAGATAGAAGTGTCAAGTTTGCCAAAGCACATGGTGAAAAACCTATGGATCAGGCCTATGCCTGCAGCTTTCAAGGCACTGTTTTCTCAAGCATCCACTGTCAGGAGCTGCTATAGGGTGATAGACCTATCCCTGGGGGCAAATATAATGTGCCTGAGATTCTGCATAAGCACCAGGTTAGCACCAGCTGCCTGTCATAAAGAGTGGCCTCACACCTTTGAGCAGGTGGAGGCATATATCTGTGTATTAATGTCACAGGGAAAGACTGCGTGCAGTTGTATGTGTCTACAGTTTGCTGCAGAGCTGGAACCAGTAATGTTACTTTTGATCTACAACATTATAACCAAGAAGAGAATCTGTTCTATAGGCAATAGGACTGCCCCGTTCCTCGGTCAGTGACCAGGAGTGTTTAGGAGGGGCTTAGGGGTGCTTTTGGATCTTACAAGTTACAGTGATGAGAATTATCACAGAGGTTTGAGAGGATCCCAGATGCCTGGATTACATAGACTATATGCCAGGTCTGTACAGGGGAACGTGCCACAGCCTTTCTCCACATCATTTGCTGTGCTTTGGTCTCCATGCAAGAGAAGTCCAGATGCCATGGTCAAATGTGCAACTCACCAGGTCCCCCAGATCCCGACAGAGGCGTGCTGCTGTGCTCATCAATAGGCAAATGTAAAGACAGCTGTGAGCTCTGCTGTTTAACTAATCCACTGAATGCATCTCTGCTCCACCACATAAAAGAAACTACTTGTTAATGGTCTAATATCTGGTTAACAAGTACGGCATGGACTTTTTAGAAATGTGTTATCATTGCAGGCATTGCATTAATCACAAATAGAATATCCCTTTCCTATTTTATGTTTATTTTTAGCAGCCTTCCCTCAACACAGTGACTTAGCACAAGGATTGAAGAGCAGGTATGCCTCAGCCAGCCATTCCTTTTGGCCTGTCACTGACCCCCATGAGTTGCCTTGCATACCTATCCCAGCACTTCATGTAAGAAAGGCTTGCCAATTTCCAAGTGTTCTAGCTGGAAATGAGGTGTGGCTGCTCCTGTAGTGACACACTTAGTTTAAGTCTGAATTATGCCGTGAACATTGGCAGGTTTTGTTTGGTTTGTTTTTCTGTTTTCTCTTAGGCACTTAGATTTCTTTGAGATGGTCAGAAATGAAGATGACCTGGAACTTGCCAAGCGGTTTGACCTGGTAAGTTTTTCTCTGGAGTACCTGAACTTGGCAAAGCTGAACATCCACTTTGGATGCTTGGTGCAACTTCCCTTTGTGTTCCCTGAAAACAATGATTGACTTGGGTGCTGAGAGTGGCTGGTGCTCTTGTTTTCACTGTTTCTCATTTAGCAAGTAGGGGATCTGTGATGTGTGAACAATGAAAACAATGATCACAGACAGGGCTTCTGCCAAGTGTCTTTGACAAAGTCGTCTTTCTTTTGTTTGGCTGAAGGTTCAGGAGTGGAGGAGGTTCCCAACCCTGCTCTCATGTTCTCAGTCCTGATGATCCAGATGCATTCCAGTTTCAGACATTCCCTTTACAGGACCATGGGTGAAGCTTGGGCTCTTCTCTGATACTTTTCCCAAGATTACAGGAAACTCTCCTGAAGACTGTAACCTCAGAGCCTGTGGGAGAGGATCAGTATTTTATATTGGGTGGATTTTAAAGATGAGCATAAAACAAGGACAGTTTCCACAACCTCTAGCAATAGTAGGAGGCTGTAGGGTCCAGAATAGTTATAGTTTCCTCTTTCTTCATGACAAGCTCTTGCCACACACCAATACAGAACAACAAGCCCTTTCCTGCTTAGTTTAGCTTCTACTATTTGTGCCACCACTTTTTAGGACTCAAATGTTTTGCTTGCTCCAGAACAGCTGTTGGTGGCTTTGCATGCCTCCCGCCTTTCTAGCCCTTTACTTTGGGGATCTTTTCCATACCGGAGTGGGGATGGCAATGCTGGTCTCAAAGACCATGTGCCTGCTCCTCACTAGAACTTGCAGCAGGACATTGCAGGAGACTGTAGAGTTCCCAGCTGCTGGAAATTTGCCTGTCTCTGTGTTGATCAGATCTTTCACAGTTAGTCAGGCTTTCACTGTGCATGGTTTTTCTCTCACTTGTTCTTTCACTACCTTCTCTCACTTCAGATCCACATTGATACAAAAAGTGCCTCACAGATGTTTGAGTTGATCAAGAAGAGACTGAAGCACACAGACGCCTATCCCTATTTGTTATCCGTCCTCCAGCACTGCTTGCAGATGCCATGTGAGTACATCGTAGTTTTCCAGAGCAACGGGTACTGAAGAACCGGGTGAAGCTTTGGTGTAGGTACAGGGTCACAGATACCAGGACACACACTGCCCTTGTCTTCCGTTTGGAACTTGGCAGTGGCTAAGGTACTTGGTATCTTACACTGACTCCATCCAGCAGATTTTTGTTGCAATACTTAAAGCCGCAGTTTGACCTCTCTGCACTTGCAAATAAAATTAAGTAGCTGAGACATTCCAGTTAGTCACTGACAGAGCTTTTAATGATTTTAAATTAGAAGTTTTAAAAAAGAAAGAGCCCTTGTGCTCTAGATCAGGGAATTCCCAGAAATAGATACCATTTTGAATATTAACAAAATGCAGTGAGGAATTTTTCTGGTGAAACAACACAGTACTGAAAGCTGTTCTGTCACTGGGAAATTCCACAGTAAGTCTTCAGGCTGCTATCTCATGGCAATGCATCAGTGGAGAGCTTCTGAGCTCAAACTGAAAAATAACATTGACAGTTGTTTTCAAGAGAAGTGATAGGAATCTTCTTGTTAACTGTAATAAAATAAGTCAGTTATGCTTCCAGAGTGTAGCAGCTGAGCAAAGGCATAGCAAGATCACTAAAGAACTGCCTGCCTTGATCCTATTAGGTATCAGGTGCTGGTCTTCATTACTTGCAGCCATACTTGAGCAGTCAAACTGAAAAGGGAACATGAGGGAGATGTACTGTGGTGTGTTTTTTCAGAAAGTAATGTGGTATGTTTTCAGGCATTCATTAGATTCAAGTACTGCCATGCACAAGTTCAAGCAGTTGTTTGTCCCAGTCGTCTCCTTGATATTACTCCTTAAGACAGTACTTGAGCTTTGGGCATTGACCTGGATTTTTGGTGGCAGAAGGGCTAAACCCTGCTAGGCCAGGACAGGATTGTACTGGAGCAGTTTTAAAGAATCTAAAGGTCTAGGTTATGTAACTCAGGGAGCTGAGGTGAACTTTATGTTGCTCTGGCTCTTCTGTCTGATATCCATGGGATCAGTCCCTTTGGTTCAATTTCTGTTCTTTCTCTCCACACTTTTTGGTCATGTTTGTATTAATTTTTCATGCCAGTTGAGTTTCACTGACCTGCAGATAACTGAGCATGCAGATAGAACATCTCATTGTTTTTACAGTGCCTGGTCACGATGTTACCTAGGTACCAAAAAAACCCCCCAACATCAAGCCCCAGAAGATACTGAGTAACAGCTATCACAAAGGAATCACTTCTGTAGGCGTTTAAAGTGCAAGTTAGAGCTAATCTGTCAAAAGGGTTGCACAGCCTGAATATGCAAATCCGGCACAGAGTTGCCCATGCCTGTTATGTGTATGCCAGGTGTTTGTAAATAATCTGCTAGCAACAGTTCGATGTTAGGCTTTGTGTTCTAAAATTTACTACACACAGGATTGAGACGGAAGGTGAAAAGGAAGGAA